TGCAGGGTGGTGGGTTTTGAGTATGTCCCAAATGGAAAGGACTGCCCTGGGAGTTGCAGTTCAGTATTCTAGTTAAATAAGTGGAGCTCACTGGTATTAGTAAAGGAGTGATACATAAGCAAGAGATTAATTCACAGTTATTTAGTTTGTCTTTATCCCCTCAGCTTATTTTAAAAGAAAACAACAAAAAAAAGAACTCTACTGATTTGTATGGCTGCATTCTGTAGGGCTGTAAAATGGTGAGCATACTGTGGGCCTGGTTCTCTCATTCAAATATTTTTCATGTATTTTTCCTTTCAAAAGAAGCGTGGTAGGTGGTTCTATGGAAAGATTTGTCCTCTCGAGAAAGTTCATTAAGGCTGTCGTACAGCTGCTTGCATGGCTAATTCCCAGCTCTCCATTAAACTTGACCTCCCCAGCAATAACTAGATATGCCTAATCAGAAAAGGCTGTAAATTGGGAAAAGGTGAGGAGGCTTCTGCAGGACCAGCCTGTTCTTTACAGCACCAAGTTTGCAGAAGCACCTCTTACAGCTGTGCTGCTACAGCCGGAGCCAAGGCGCACCTGGGGCAGATGCTGTGACATGATTAATTGTCATGCAGCAGGTATATCAACAGCAGAGTGGTAGTTCTTAGCATGGAAAGGTTAATGTGAACAGAAGTTACCCTCCTTGGATTAAAGCAACTTCCAGTTTCTTAAAAAAAAAAAAAGCAGGTGCTGCGTGTTGTTTGTCCTGAACTGAACAGAGCAGCAGAGGAAAGAGCAGGAATTGGTATGAGAGTAGTGTGTGTCGGAGAGTGGCCCAGGACAGAACATACCAGAACTAGCAGAGTGCCTTGCTAACGGTGTGGTTTTCACCCAACTCCACTGAGTCAGTCACTAACAAATTTCTGCAGTCTGTGGGCTTTGTTACCACTGCTGGCTGTGGTTCAGCTTTGATAAAAATAAAATTGAATGTACACTGTGTGCGCTCTGTGGGAGGATGCTCTCAGTGCCAACGGAAGCATTGTCTGTTCGTCTTTGAAGAAATACAACATTTGCTACTAAGGAATGAAAATAGAATTTTCCTAAATTACACCAAAAAAAGAAATGATAAACCAAATGGCATCACTGTTGGTCTCAACATGATGTAGGACACACTTACACAAAATGTCTTCACACACTAAATGTTTTTTTTCGAAGAACAAGAGGGTTCAGTGGTACTTTAGTGAAAGCAGTGGGGCCAGTGCTTTGTTAAAGGCAAGGGTGACTACCCCTCACAAAACTCAAGTATTGCCCCATTATAGCAGATGGCAATAGTGAATAATGGGATAGACAATTCTTTCAGTTTTTCTTACTAGATATAACTTAAAGGATTTAAACATCCTCCTGTTTTTGAGAGGTATCACTCGTGTGTTCCATCAGTTGGCTCTTGAACACTTCTTCCACAATGCCGGGGTATGGTGGGCTTCGCACCACCATTGAGCTGCTTCAGCTGCCAGCTGACATGCACACAGCAAACAAGCGCTCCCGAAACTCGCCCTGGAGCACCGGGACTGCAGCAGCAGTGACCTCTCCGGGGCGGGGTGTTTGTGAGCATCTGTTGTTGCTGAATGTCATAATTATAACTTCACTGGATCGCCTGCAGGTTAGTTTGTGAGATCTTCAGGAGCTTACTCAGTTATGGAGAAGGATGCCAAATGAATTGGGCTTAGCCATTCTGTTGCTATAAAATAACTTTTTGGCTTAGAATATTTGGAAAAAACCCATGGTGTCATAGAGGGTTACCTCTGGTAGCAAGTTGGGGTGGTTGTTGTCTCTGTTTTGCTCCAGTGGGTGCTGTGAAGGACAGTGGGTGCGGAGCAGGTAACCCAGAACCACACTGTCAAGAGAGCTTCTGACGTTTGTTCTGGAGGAGGTTAAGCGTGGAGGCTTCTCTCTTGGGTTTGGAGGATCTCTGAATCTTACACAGGGAGAATGGCGTTTGAGGGAAAAGTCAGAGGTTGGGATGGAGAATCTTTACTTCGCTATCCTTCTGTTTCTCTCTAGAGTGATAAGGAACGTCTAAGCACCAGGACACAGAGCAATCTCTTTCAAATAGTGATCGTTCCAGATTCCACACTAGCACGTGTGTGAATAGCTAGTTTTGCTTTAATTGGCAGAAAATGCTTTGCCAGCTGTGCATGGTGCTGTCGTAAGAGCTGATCTGGCTACGGTACCTTTATAACGCGGGGTGTGCGTGGAGGAACAGCAACCTCTTCAGACATCAAGGAAAAAAAGTAATTCCATGTAAAGTGCAGGATTTTCATGTAATTAAAATCTGGAGGAAAATGTGCACATGTGAGCTGGAGGGCTTTAAAAAAAAAAAAAAAAAAAAAGCTGTTCCTGAGTATAAAAACTACTGTAGTGTGGCCCCACCGCTACCAAACTGTTGCAGTATTATTCTCCACAGATGATAAATTTCTGAGCCGCTGAGTCACTTGTCATTCCTTTCAAATCCAGACCTCTGCAGATCTCTGCTGTTCGTGCCATGAAATACTCCAGGACTCCACACTGTAGATCCCATCAATCTGAAGGCAGTGGGTTTCTCTAGATGTGCAGTTAATCAGGAACTGGTTATTTCCCAGTCCTCTTCCTGCAAACACACGACACAGGCACTCAGAGTGGCTTTTGGACAGCTGAGAATTGAGTAATAGCAAGGGGTTTCTCGCGTCAGAATAATGACGAGGGGAAAATGGATGAGAGCTTCAGAGAGAGCGTGGAAATGTTATCTTGAGCGCAGGGGTCCAAATCCTGACATGCACTGAGCGTATCCTCAGCTCACTCTGACGTTACGAGCATGAGGAGTTTCAGCAAAATTTGGCTTAATAAACAACTGTTACTTAGATGTTTGTTCTTTTTAGAAATTAAACCTCTTTCCCCGTTTATTTGTTCTGCTGATTGGCTTCTCTGGATTGCTTTTGGTCTGGACAAATAAGTCACAGAGCTGGGGAAGAGGCAGGCTTGCAAAATTTAAACAGCGAGGCTTCCCGTGGACCAAAGCTAATATTGGCTGACACCGCGAACTGTGTGGCTTCGGTGTGGTGGATCCACATCCCGCGTCAGCCAGAGAAAACCAGCTGGTGTCGGGAACCACCCTGGGTGCTGATGGCAAGAACAAACTGATGGAGGATCCAAAAGTCACCAAGGAAACCCTCTTGGCCCTGGGGTCCTTCTGCAATAGAGAATAAACCCTACGGCGTGGGGATGGGTCCTGCAGGCTTTCGTTCGTGTAGAGGCAGCAGGTTTTTGAGGGTAGGGTTTCTGTTTTGTGATGGATTTCTTGTCCTGCAAAGCCAAGGCTTGTGGTATCCCATGGGTCAGGCACCCCAAATCGAGCCCTGCAGTAAAGAGGGGTGTCTCCAGAAAAATGCACTTCTGAAAGCCTTTGAGCTTTGGAGCTTTTCCTGGATTCCTCGGGAATATGTGCTGTATTCTGCTTGATGTAGGAGCAGCTGCTGTAACACAGCTTCTCACTGTTCTTGGTCTTTTTTCTGGTCCCCCAGTATCCGAGCTGTACATTCACTCAACCCTGCGTTAAAATGTTAAGGTTTGAAGTAAACCTCATAAGGTCACTCTGTCCCTTCCCTGACACTGCTGCGGCACAAATGTTGATGCGTTTATTTAATGATTTGCCTGCCACTTCTGACAGATGGTTGTTTCGTCTTATGCATCCTGTGTGATGGAGCATCCCCAACTTTTCCTGACATGTTGCTCAGTTGTTTTGCTGTTCTTTTCTGCAGTTTATTCTGGGCATTGTTTGCTTAGTTGAATTGGAGTTACTGTTTGTTTCTTCATCGGTGCTTTATCATTCTTACTGGTCCTGTACGCCTCGCATCATTTTTTTTCTCGTCGTTCAAGACTGATTGCACTGTATCGTCTCAGCTGTGTTGGAATGAGAAGTTTGGGGAGGGGAGGTGGTGCCTTCAGGGTCATTGATCCCATCTTTATAACTTTGCCCTTTCAGCTGGGAGCAGAATTATTTGTGCGGTGGTTCAAGATTGCACAGGCAGAATCAGAAGGACTGAACTTTACATAAACCATTTATACTAAACGTTGGGAATGCTGGCAACATAAATCAACAACAATATCTATTACAAATTTATCACTTGATCAGTATTATCTTTGATAGAAGTGGTGCAAACACGTGGGGAAGTGAACCATACCCCGGGAAGTTTAGTCCTCTCCTGAATTAATTATTCAGGACACACAGAGCCTGGCCCCTTCAATGTATAGTAATTCTTTCTAGCCAGCATCCAGGACTTTAACTTCAGTGGCAATAATAAATAGGAAAAGTCTCAGGTGAAGCCAGTATTTCAAAGTAATTAATCATCTTCCCCTCATGGTCCCTCTGCCTCTCTCTTGGTTTTCTTTAACGAGGGAATTTCAGTAATAAATCTTTAATGATATATGTTAAGAATCCTTCATTAATTCTTGTCTGCTTATGTCTTTTTTTTTTTTTTGATGCTTTAATATTGTATGTTGGGAAGTTAAAACGGGTATGCAGGGAAAAAAACAGTTCTAGAAAGCTGGTAATGTGGCACAGTCTGTGAAAGGCAGTTTCTGGGGTGTGCAACGGTGTGCGGTCCCCTTGCTGATAGGAAGCACTGGTTCGTACTGGTTGGACTGTCGAATGAATCCTTAGACACAGTTCTAGAATTGCAGCATGATTGCACAGGAAAAAGTAAAGAAAAGAGCGATTTGTCTGCTCCTACACTGGAGGGGAACGAGCACTGATTCTCAGTTGCACGATGCGCGAAGGC